CAAAAGGGGAGAAGCAGGGGGTTTTTTGGTAATGCTGGATCCAAGTGGAAAGAAAGTCAGGATGGCACTTCTCTCCAAGGATAAGTAGATATGAGCTGTCCAAAGGGACCTGGAGTAGCCAGTGACCCAAGGGGGTTCTGGGACCTCAGACTGCTTTCCCACTTGCCCACCTATACCACCCCCATACCCTCCATCGGGGGTCTTTGAAAAGGAAAACAAATTTGAAAAAAAAAGAACAATTTTCTGTGAGCATGAAACTGGAGAGGCAAGGGTTTTCATTTCCAAATCCCAAGTGTACAGTTGGGGGAAGCCAAGAGAGAAGCATCATAGTGGATCACTAGGAATTGGGCCTGGCTCACAAAGCCCTCTTGTCACAGCTCGTGTTTATTTAGCTCCACAAGCCCCAACCCACTATGCCTGGCCCTGGACTCATGTGGGAGACCACAATGAAGTGAGCATGGAAATTTCAAAGCTGCCCCTAAGGGTAGGGGGTCAGAAATGACTTTAGAGAAGCATACTGAAACCAAGACACATTGGGCCAATGTCTGCCAGGGGGACCAGAGGCCAGAGGTATATTCCAGGGCTGGTCAGTGGCCTGCAAAAAGGGCTTATATCTAGATCTGGGGCTGGTGAGGCTGGAGGGGTTCTCAAACTTCCTCCTAAAGGCAACAGGGACTCACAGGAGAGTTTCTAAATAGGAGAGCTGCTTGGTTATCTTGGGTAGTTTGTAGGAGGAATATGAGATCAAATCAAAGACAGATCAGTGAGAATGCTGGTTTTAGTGTTCTGATAAATAATTGTAGGGATGGGAAAGAAGAGAAGATAACATCTAATAATTGTAGGCATGGGAAAGAAGCAAGTGTGAGTGCTTTAGGAAATTAAAAACAATTAAAAAAAAAACACAGGACTTGTGAAAGGATTAAAGAACATATATGCATAGCCCATGGATACAGACAATAGTGTAGTGAGGGCCAAGGGGTTGGTGGGGGCAGGGGCTGGGTGAAGGTGGGCAAAGGGGTGGGGGGTGTGGATGGGGAATATATGCAATAGTATTAACAATAAAAATTTGCATTTAAATAAAAGCATAGAAATTTAAAATAAAAACAACAGGAGTTGGTGGTTATCATTCACTAATTGAACTGATCTTTATTAAGTGCCTGTTAGTATCACTTTATAAATTTACTAGAGGCCTGGTGTGCAAAATTCGTTCATGGGGTGGGGGGTCCCCTCAGCCCAGCCTGCACCCTCTTCAATCCGGGACCCCTTGGGGGATGTCCGACTGCCAGTTTAGGGCCTAAACCGGCAGACATTCCTCTCACAATCCTGGACTGCTGGCTCCTAATCGCTCACCTGCTTGCCTGCCTCATCACCCCTAACTGCTCTCCCCCCCCCCCCCCCCGCACCAGCCTGATCGCCCCTCACTGCCTCTGCATGCCGTCCTGGTCACCCCTAACTGTCCCCCACTGCCAGCCTGGTTGCCCCCTACTACCCCCTCTGCTGGCCTGGTCGCCCCACGCAGCCTGCTTGTTCAGTCATTTGGTCATCCCTCACTAACGCCCCTACTGGCCTGGACATAGGCGCCATCTTGTGAGGGCATGAGGGTTAATTTGCATATTGCCTCTTTATTACATAGGATAAGTGGCATGGCGGAACTTCATTAGCAAAAGAATGGAGCCCCACACCCAAGTTTAAGTACTCGTAAGTGCTTCTCTGGGCCTCAGTTATCAATCTATAAAATAAAGAGGTTGGACTGGTAGCTCCTGATCCTAACAGCTTTACTTTTTCTGATTTTTGGAGCTTGGATTAAGTGTATAGAATCCTTGCCCTAACCATTTTGGCTCAGTGGATAGAGCTCCGGCCTGCAGACTGAAGGGTCCCAGGTTCGATTCCGGTCAAGGTCATGTACCTTGGTTTCGGGCACATTCTCAGTAGGGGGTGTGCAGGAGGCAGCTGATCGATGTTTCTCTCTCATCAATGTTTCTAACTCTCTCTCCCTTCCTCTGTAAAAAATCAATAAAATATTTTTTTTTAAAAGTGTATAAAATCCAGTGATGTGCCAGGGCAGGCTCCTATCTATTTGCAAGAGCCAACTGTTAAATTTTCAGGAATTTTGCAAGAATGTAGAACTAGAAACTGGTTATAGTGAGAGTACTTACAAATGGAAATAGGCAAATGCTACAAACTAGGCTTTCAATCTCTCCACCTCCTGCCACTGTGCTCCCTGCCAGAGGTGGTTTTCACCTGCACACCAGTGAGACCCCTCTTCAACTGACACACATATACCCAGTCAGGTACATTCTCACTTTCCAACAATTGTGAAGAATCACAGGTCTCTAGGACACCACATGGACCATCACACAGAACCTGCCCTAGCACGGCCAGGCCCACATACTCAGGCCTACACAGGATGCAAAACACCCAGTGTGGGTCTGGGCAGAGCTACTATCTGACAGTAGATCAGTCATTATCAGACAAAGGGGAGCAGAGGTTGGTGGTGAACGTATTGGAGTCTCACAGACCTAAGATGGAATTCGTTAGGTCCTCTTGGCTATGTGATGTTAGCCAAGTTCCTCTCAACACTGGAGCTCAGTTTCCTCATCTTTCCCTCCACCCCCTTTGATTTTTTTTTCTTTTAGTAAGTGGAAGGGGAGAGAGAAACATCGAAGTAAGAGAGACACATGGATAAATTGCCTCCTATACACACTCCAACAGGGGCATAGAATCAATCCTGCAGCCCCTTGGTGTGCAGGCCAACACTCTAACCACTGAGAAACACCTGCCAGGGCTCCTCATCTTTAAAATGGGTGCAAGTCCAGCCCTGGCTGGTGTGGCTCAGTTGGTTGGAGCATCACCCTGCATACCAAAAGGTGGTGGGTTGCATCCCTGGTCAGGATATGTGTGGGAAGCAACTGATTGATGTTTCTCTCTCTCTCCCTTCCTCTCTCTAAAATCAATAAAGTTCTTTTAAAAAAATAAATAACATGGGGAAAAATTCTGACATAGCAGGATGGTTTCCAGGATTGAGAATACCCACAAAGTGAATGTAAAGACTCCATACCATGCCCAGCCACTGTGGCTCAGTGGTTGAGCATCGACCTATGAACCAGATCATGGTTCAATTCCCCGTCAGGGCCCATTTGCATGTTGTGGGCCCAGTGTGGGGCATGCAGGAGGCAGCCGATCAATGATTCTTTCATCATTGATGCTTCTATCTCTCTCTCCCTCTCCCTTACTCTCTGAAATTAAAAAAAAAAAAATCCTATATAATAAAAGCCTAATATGCTAAGTATCCAGTCTTCCGGTCAACCAATCAAAGTGTAATATACTAATGATATGCTAAGGCCACTCAACCACTCGCTATGATGTACACTGACCACTGGGGAGTGGGGGCAGATGCTCCAACCAGTAGGTTAGCTTGCTGCTGGGGTCCGGCCGTGGAGCCCTCCCGCGGTCCCTCCCAGGCTGGTCAACTTCCAGCATCCCTCCCCGGCCCCAATCATGCACCAGTGGGTTCCCTTGGCCTGGCCTGAACTCTCTTGCAATTCAGGTCCCCTCGGGGGATGTCGGAGAGCGGGTTTCAGCTCAATCCCACAGGCCAGGCTGAGAGACCCCACTGGTACACAAATTTGTGCACTGGGCCTCTAAAAATATATATACAGTGGGGCCTTGACTTATGAGTTTAATTCGTTCCGTGACGGAGCTTGTAACTCAAATTACTCGTATGTCAAATCATAAAGTGAACGAGTGAGACACGTGATGCTGGGCTGATGTTGTGGCGTTCACTGTGACGTTCGCTGCGCCAACTAGCGGTGGGGTATCTGAAGCTGGCTCGTAACCCAAATTTTAGCTCTCAACTCAAAGCAAAAAATCAGCCGAGAGACGGCTTGTATCTCGAAAAACTCATTAGTCGGGACACTCGTAAGTCAAGGCCCCACTGTATATATATTTTTAAAAATACTCCACATTATGCCTGGTACAGATAGGTGTTTAGTTAATGTTAGCTAATGCTGTTATCACACCTCTAGACTCATTCTCCCTAGCCAGGGTCCATTTGGCTCAGTGCTCCCTTCTCACTATCTGAATTTTGGCACAGAAGGCCTCAGTGGTGAAGGACAAAGACAGAAACATAGTGCTCTGTTTTTCAGCTTTTATGAAAATTAATAACATTAATAGCTCACAGACATATACATACACACATATAGCTATATACATAGTCATTAAGTTATTAATTAGTGTCCGTATAAAATGTTTCTACATTAGTGTCCTGGGCTAGACCCCATCAGTCCTTGGCATATTCACAGTAGCAGCCCCAGGGCTCGGCCCCATGGGCGGGGAGAGAGGCAGGTGGCTGTATGAATAGACTGCCCAAGGTGGGCATTGGAGGTGTCCTGGGCCACATACTCTCAAGTCTTTGGCTCCCTTCCTGGCACCTGGAGACCAGCTATTGAGTGAGCAGGCAAGCAGGTCCAGATTCCTCGTGTGACCTGGTGACTCAGGCCTTGTGCTTGGTGACTTCAGGCAACACAGCGGATCCTAGAGGATGCTAGCCAACTCTGTAGAGTCTGTGTCAGAGCAGCCTGAGCTGCTGGCCTCTTCCCTGCAAGAGCCAGAGAAGATAGGTTAGAAGAACCATCCTTACCCCTTCCCTGCCCCACCTGCCTCCTTCCTTGCATAATCTTTGGCCCTGCGATCTTAGCCAGCTGTCAGGCAAGTCTAAAACACTCCCTGTCTCTTGCCTGGCCGGAGTGGCTCAGTTGGTTGAGTGTCTTCCTGTGCACCAAAAGGTTGCCAATTTGATTCCTGGTCAGGGCACATACCTGGGTTCCTGGATTGTAGGCTCCATGGTCAGGGCACTTATGGAAGGCAACTGATCGATGTTTCTCTTTCATGTCTCTCTTTCTCCCCCTCCCTCTTTTTCTGCCCCTCCCTCTTTTTCTGCCCCCACCCCCTTTCTCTCTCTAATCATGTTCTTGGGTGAGGATTTTAAAATCCTATCTAATAAAAGGGTAATATGCAAATTAACCGTCACAAATATGGCGGTGCCCATAGCCACAAGATGGTGGCACCCAGTCCTCTCAGCTCGCTGGAGTCCCCCAGTCCCGGGAGGGCAGCCACTGAGAGTGGGCAGCGTGAGCGGCCTGGAGGAATGCTTGCTTCATCGCTGTGGTGATGAGGCAAGCATCCCGCGCCCAGCTGTGGATGGGCCTCTGGCCAGACCGGGGCATGGAACGCTTGTGTAAGAAGAGAAGGAACCGGCGAGCTGAGCAGAGTCAAGTGGCCCCCAACTCCCAGGCAAGGTCAAGTCTGGGCGGCCAAAGGGTGGAGGGGGTGGAGGATAGTGTGACAGGAGGGGCTGGTGGCGGAGGCACAGGGGTGAAAGCCAGCCGAGAAAGTGGAAGGAAGCCCTTTATTGGAGTTCCTGAGAACAGGGAGGGAAGTCATTTGCATTTCCAGGCCGTGGATGGGCCTCTGGGCCGCAGAGAGCCTCTGGGCAGCGGGCGAGGAGTGGCCAGGCCCCGCAGAGAGCTACTGGTGTGCAGGGCTACTAGTAAATAAATAAATAAAAATAAAATGCTCTCCCTTTTAGCCCAGAAACTGCTGGTTGGTTTAATCACTGTTCTTGCTACCCACAAGACATTACAAGCCCAAAGAGTATGCTCTGACCTAGGCTGGCTGATGGGCTGGCATGACTCACTCCACCCTGCCCTCTGGTCTCCCAAAAGGCAGGGCTCAGGCCACACCTGAGGTCCCGGATGCCAGGAGTGCCATGAAGAGTACATGGTGTGGAGTCAGAACTCCAGGCCTCAAACTCGGCTCTACCCTTTATCAGCTGGGCCAGTCACTCTTCCTGGTTAAGCCTGAGTTTCTTCATCTGCAGAGTGGGAATCATAGTGCTCTGTGACACCTAGGGTTGTCGGAGGACTACAGAAGGTCATGAATGTACATTCTCTAAAACAAACTCCTTGAAGGCAGGGATTTAAAAATATATACACATATTTTTTTTATTGATTTCAGAGAGGGAGAGAGAGATAGAAACATCAATGATGAGAGAGAATCATTATCATTGATTGGCTGCCTCCTGCATGCCCTACACTGGAGATTGAACCCACAACCTGGGCATGCCCTGACCAGGAATCAAACCGTGACCTCTGGTTCATAGGTCAACGCTCAACCATTGAGCCACGTAGGCTGGGCGAGGGCAGGGATTTTTGTTTCATTCACTAGAGCAATGCCTACCACATAGTGGGCTTCCAATAAGCATTTGTTGAATGAATAAATAAGTGTAAAACCACTTGGCATGCAACTATATGTTTAAGAAATATCAGCTGAGCCCTGGCTGGTTTGGCTCAATGGACAGAGCGTCAGCCTGCGGACTGAAGGGTCCCGGGTTCGATTCCAGTCAAGGGCATATGCCCAGGTTGCGGGCTCGATCCCCAGTGCGGGGCATGCAGGAGGCAGCCGATCAATGAGTCTCTCTCATCATTGATGTTTCTATCTCTCTCTCCCTCTCCCTTCCTCTCTGAAATCAGTAAGAAATATATTAAAAAAGCGAAATATCAGCTGGAACTATTATAAATTGGCAGAGGGAAGGGTGGAGGAAGAGCTGTCAAGGGAAGGTGTGTGGGAGGAAGTCTGGAATGGCCACAGAATGCATAAGCTGAGGACTTAGTCCGGATGGTGCCTCTCCTCCACCTCCCTGTCCCCTCCCTCACTCACCTCAGAGCCTGGAGGGCCTTCTTGTTCTGCCGCCGCTTCTCCTCATCAATGGGGTACAGCTCAAAGAGCAGCAGGCCTAGTAGGATGAGGACTATGGGAGCCATTGTCACCAGAATCTTCAATGTAAACCTGACGGGCGCTGGCTGGGAGCAGCCACGGGTCTGGTATCCGGCAAAGCTGTGGGACCCAGTGGGAAGGCGAGCGGTAAGGATGGGATGCCTGGGGCCTGTACCTGTCCGGCACTGTCCCAGGCCCCCACCCTACTCACTCAAGACTGAGGGTAGAGACGCCCAGTGAGACTCCAGAGGCGAACTTGGTGAAGAAGACATAGAAGGAGAAGAAGATGGGCTCAGTTCCATGGGAATGGGGGTGCTTCAAGTGGAAGTCGTCAATGACATCGGGCAGCATGGACCTGTACAGAGTAGTGACAGCCATGAGGACCCACCCACCAAGCAACCCCAGGCCCCTACTAGCCCATTCAGTACCTCTCTGTGTCAATGAGAAGAGGTGGCTCTCTGGGAGTTTGCAGCCCCATGGACACAGCTCAGTGAGGAGATGGCAACTTGATGTGATTAAGGCCCCTTCCTTCCTATGGTGAACTAGCCCCACCAGGTGCTCCACTGGACTAGTAGCATGCAGACTAGACTTAAGCCCCCATTTCTCAGTCTGATTAGATGTGGGTTTTTTGGTGTGTTTTTTTCTAAATCCTCACCCGAGGATAATTTTTCCATTGATTTTTTTTTTTGAGAGGGTTGGGGGGTTGGGGGAGGTGCGGAGGGGGAGAAGCGGGGAGACAAACATCAATGTGTGAGAGACATATCGATTGGTTGCCTCCCACACATGCCCTGACCAGGGTTGGAATTGAACCTGCAACCCAGGTATGTGCCCTTGACCTGAAATCGAACCCCGGACCCTTTGGTGGGCAGGCCAATGTTCTAAACCACCTAGCAACACCAGCCAGGGCTGATTAGGTGTTCTTGTACAGTTTACAACCTGTATAACTATGGGAAGACCTGCCCCACACCTGCAACCTGGACCCACAGAATGGCCTTCGAGAAGAGAAGCCCTCACAGAATTCTCCCAAAGGAACGTTAGAAGTGGGGGTGGGGAACTGGGAAACATACCCAGATGGGTCTGTATACTTACCAGGGTAGTAAGAAGGCAGCTGCTACACTGATGCCAGCTGCCACAGCTACCACATACGTGACAATCAGGTTACTCTCTATGAGGGCCACCAGGATGAGAAATGGTACTGCTGACTAGGGAAGGGGGTACAGGAAGATGAGTCAGCTGGGAAGCTCCCACCAGCAACCACCAGCGCAGGCATTTCCCCCTTTAGTCCCACTCACTGAGATCCCAATATATACAGCCGTCTTCTTGCCAAACTGGGTTAGAAACCACTGCCAGAAGGGAATGGTGAATGTGGCCGAGAGCTGTAGATGTAAAAGGGGTGAGGGAAGTGGGTTAGAGCTGTGGAACCCTTCCTGCCTTTCCCAGGACCCCAAAGGTACTCCCAGCCCTGCCTGACATCAGCCAGATGACCTCATCTGAGCAGTGAGGAAGTTGACAGGCACCTTTGATGGCTCCCAAAGGGGGCTGAGAATAGGTTCCAACCTCATCTCCTGCCTTTTCTGAGCACACTGAGCCAAAGTTCCAAAGTTCCTGGCCTCTACCTCTTTGCTCTTGCTTGGACACTTAACTCCAAGCAAGGAGTTTTCTACTATACAAAAAAGATGGCCAGTGTTGTTCCATTTAACTCCAAACTCTTCCTTCCCTCCTCCCATCCCATGTTATTGAGATATAATTGACATGCAACATTGTATTAGTAGTTTAAGGGTACAACATAATGGATTTCATACACGCACCCAAACTTTTCACATTCCTATCTAAGCAATGATAGGTCAGATCCAACCAAATTATTTTGAGAAACCTCCCTCACCCCTTTATGACCTTGGGTCAGTCTCAGAAATACCCTCTGACTCTCCTAAGAACCATCTCGCAATCTATGCCACTTCAGCCCAGGCTGCCTACCCAGCCTCGGGGCCCCACACTCACCATGATGGCCAGGAGCAGATTCTGGAATTCGTTTCGGAAGCCCAAGGTGTAGGTGCAAAACAAGGCGAAGTTCCCCTCCACCAGCTGGGAGACAGGACAAGGGAGGGAGGAAGCACAAAGAAACACGTGATATTGGGGCTGGGCCTCCCCAAGACATTCCCTATGCTCCAGCGGTCTCTGCTTACCCCCACCCCTCACTCCACCATCTCTCAGGCTTGTCACATCCTGAGTCCTCTGCTCACCTCCTCCCCCCTCTAGGCTGAACATGTCAGACCCCCACTCACCATGAAAGCCAGGGAGGTGAAGAGGAAGCCAGCAATAAGCTTAATATATGGGCCATGGCTCATGACCAGTCGGAGGCCCCGAAAGAAGGGTATTGGCTCAGCCTGCTGAGTCTCATAGGCTTCTGTGGACCAGAGGGAACAGTAAGGAAAGAGAGCAGAAGCTCCTTCCAAAGCCTGAGACCCAGGCAGAGTGACAAAGCCATTCTGTGCTGGGGCCTGCACCCCACCCCCCTCACGGCTTCTCACCTCTCTGTTCCCTCACGCCCAGGACCAGGATGACAGCGCAGATGACATAGATGGAGGCTATGACCCCTGCCGCCAGCAGGTATGCATTTTTCTATAAAGGGGGATAAAGGCAACATAGAGAGACAGTCAGTCTGGTCTCATCTCAACTCAGTAGCTCCACTCAATGACCTTGGACCAGTCCTTCTATTCTGAGGCCTCACTGACTTCATCTGTGAAATTGAAAAGTCACCCTCGGCCTATTGCTGTTTCCCAAGGCTGTTCTGCTGGAAAAGTCCAGCAGAACAAAATTTTAAGAAGCCGGCTATGGAGTCTGAGAACCCACAGACAAATCTCTCCCAAATCTAGTTTCGGCAACTCACTAACTCTATCACCACTCATAGAGCGGCAAATTATTTAGCCTCTCTATGCTTCAGTTTCCTTATCTACAAAGTGGCCATGGCCACATTAATAGTTTGCATATCAAATGTTCAACATTTAGCAACACTATTACTGTTTTGAGGATGATTGCAAACCACCCCATTGTTCCTCATCTCCCCAAACCCTTGCCCTGACAGGGGCCTCACCGTTTCTCTGAGTGAGGTGGTGCTGTGTGTATGACTGGCATCTTCCGTGGCCACTGCTGAATCTTTGGGGTCCTCAAGACAAGGCATATTTGCTTGGCCTACGATTTGCCCTTGGATCGCTGTGCCCAGCACTGTGCCCAGTACCTCCACAGTCATCCCTAAGCAATAAAGAGAAGGTTCTTTGAAGGGGACCCATGGGTTGTGGGCCCCAAGGGAGGAAGTTCAGATGAGTAGAAGCCAAATTCTAGCCCCAGATCATGGTAGCAGCTCCAAGTAGGGTGGCCATAGGGTGGTGGGGCAGATGGCACCTTGGCCTAAGTTCCAGCGGTTCTCAACCTGTGGGTCGAGAACAATGAAAATACATCCTGCATATCAGATATTTACATTACGATTCATAACAGTAGCAAAATTACAGTTATGAAGTAGCAACGAAAATAATTTTATGGTTGGGGGTCACCACAACATGAGGAACTGTATTAAAGGGTCGCGGCATTAGGAAGGTTGAGAACCACTAAACTCATATCCTTGCTCTGTGTGACCTCTGACTAGTCCCTGCCTCTGGTCTAGACTAGCGTCTGGTCTCACCAAAGCCATAAGGGGATTGAGTTATTTTTAAGACGGTTTCATATTCATTCCCAGCAAGGGAAGAAATGTGGCAGGAGGGTCAAGGAATGGGGGACCCAGGGTTCCTAGTAGGTGGGATCAGTGGGTTAGGGAGAGACTTACGGTAAGCAGTGGCCGAATCCCGCTCACTCTGTTCTGTGCTGATGAACATGGTGAGAGCTGAGTAGGGAACGTGGAAACACTGGCATGGAAGAGAGGCCTCGGCCAGTCAGACGATGGACAAACAGATGTGGCTTTGGGCACCAACCCCAGAGGCCCCAGGGGACTGCCCTCACATCCAGGGGAGGTGCCCACACTCACCGTGACTAGTGTCTCAAAGAGGCAATAGAAAAGCAGGTACCATAGGATCTGGCCCTGTGGGAAGTCAGGCACGAACCATATGAGGAAGTAGGCAATGATGGCCAGGGGTGTGGAGAAGATGATCCTGAGGGAGGGGAGGATATATATTATACACATCTAATATGTATATTATACAGCCTTAAGAAGGAATAAAATTCTGACACATGCTACAACACAGATGAACCTTGAAGACATTATGTTAACCGAAATAAGCCAGACACGAAAGGACAAATGCTGTATGATTCTACTTATATGACATAACTAGAGTAGACAAATTCACAGAGATAAAAAGAATGGTAGTTGCCAGGGGTTAGGGAGAGGAGGAATAGGGAGTTACTGTTTAATGGTATAGAGTTTCAGCTTAGATGGATGGTTAGTAAGTCACACAACAATGAGAGTATACTCAATGCCACTAAATTGCACACTTAAAAATGGTTAAACCCTAGCTAGTTTTCTCAGTGGTTAGAGCGTTGGCCCGCAGACTAAAGGGTTTGATTCTGGTCAAGGGCATGCACCTTGGTTGCAGGCTCCATCTCGGAGGCCCTCAGTCGGGGCGTGTGAGGGAAGCAACCGATTGATGTCTCTTTCTCACATCAATGTTTCTTTTCTTTCTCTCTGTCTCTCCCACTCCTTCCACACTCTCTAAAAATCAGTGGAGAAAAAAATTAAAAATAAATAAATAAATGGGGGGGAAATGAGGATTAACAACAACAAAATTAAAATGGTCAATTTTGGTATGTATATTTTACCACAAAAAAGTCATATAAACATATTAAAAGTTGATTAAGCCCTAGCTGGTTTGGCTCAGTGGATAGAGCGTCGGCCTGCAGACCGAAGGGTCCTGGTCAAGGGCACGTACCTTGGTTGCAGGCTCCTACCCGGCCTGGGCCCTGGTTGGGGCTCGTGCAGGAGGCAACCAATGGATGTGTTTCTCTCACATCGATGTTTCTCTCTGTCTTTCCCTCTCTCTTCTATTCTCCCTAAAAATCAATGGAAAAATATCCTTGGGTAGAAATTTTTAAAAATAATAAATAAAATGTGATTAATTGCTATGGGTTAAATAAAGCAGGCTAAACAGGAATTAGGAGTATGGGGGTGCAATTCACAACTGAGTAGACAAGGTAGCCTTCTTTGAGAAGGTGACATCTGTGCCAAGACTTGAATGAGAGGAGGGAGTTGGCCTTGCAGATGTCTGAGGCAAGAGTGTGTCAGGCAAGGGGAACAGTTAGTGCAAACATCCTCAGGCGGGAATTGTGCCGGGCAGGTATGAGGAATAGCAAGGAGGCCAGTGAGGCTGGAGTGGAGTGAGCATGCACCATGCAATTAGGAGGTAAGATCAGAGAGGAAATGGGACACCAGGTCATAGAGGGGTTTACAAGCCAGGTAAGGACCTTGGTTCTATATCCTAGGGTTGAAGTCGTTTTGAGACTTAAATAAGTTGGTATTAAAATGTAGACTAGAGCTTGGGATACAGTAAGTGTTTGCTGTGATTATCACACCAGGAAAACTAAAAGGGAAGAGTACGGCCAGGGAGCTGTGGAGGGCACTGGGCTGGGAGTCAGGCCTCAGGTCCAGCCCTGCTGTATCTCAGCCTCCCCATGTGACCTTGCTGACACCCTGCCTCCCATGGGGCAGCCTTGGGAACCCCCGGGAAACTACCTGTCAAAGTCTTCCTGGTCTGAAAGGGGGATTTAAATGGTGGCTGAGGGCAGATCTGGTCTAAAGCCTGGGAGGAGAATGGGCCACGTGGCTCACAAACTCAGAAAGGCCCAGCCTCTTGCTATACTGACAGAAGGGGTGTCAGGTCCTAGGTGCTAACTGTGGCATGGACGGGGAGAAGGTCACAGTACTACAAGGCAGCCCTTCAGCCCATGAGTGGTCCGTGTGCCCTCAGACAAGGGTGTAGTGCCACTCGAGAGGTATCACCCACACAGGTGAGGACATGTCCCAAAGCAGAAACCAGCCTGAAGGGCCTCAGCAACTTCACCAAGCTGCTGCCACACCTGCCCAGGGCCTCCCCGGTCCTCCCTCCCAGCCCTCCTCCTCCGCTCCCAGATCCACGTGTCTTCTCAGGGAACAAGGGCGTCAGCTTTCGTCAAACACTCCATCTTCTCCTCGCAAGCAGCTGATGAGGAACTGAATGTGACTGGGAGTAACCCGGGCTGGACTGCTGCCTATTGGGCTGGCGAGAGGGGCTGCCTCCCATTGGCTGGGCCTCATGAGGCGATGTGGCAGTGGAGCCCCGCCTCCGCCGCCTCGCTCCCAGGGAGGCGGGCACAATAGCTTCATGGGTGTGTGGCTCCAGGCGGTAGGGAGCCCTGAGCAGGCTGCCCAGGTAAGGCAGGCTGTCCTGCCCTCTGGCCCTGAAGTCTTGGATCAAAGGCCCCAGCCTGGGCCTTAGCCAGGGACTGGCAGGATTGTAGTGGGAGGGGGCTCGTGGGAAAGGAAGCTGTGGGAGAGAGGCGGGGGCTGTGGGAAGAGCTTTGAAGGCTGAAGGCCGGAGACCAGGTATGGGCACCCCAGGGGCAGGAAGGCGCCCACTTGAGCGTGGATGGGCTGGAGATGAAAGGAAATATCCCCCCCCACACCACCACCACCACCAAGCAGGATGTCCTGGGGGGAACCAGAGCTCCAGCCTGTCCGCCTGTCCCATGTGCCTCCTTTGCTGTCTGATCTGTAGCACCCCTCCTACCTTGCCAGATAGCCGGAGGCTGAGTACTGTAGGTTTTGTACCAAGGGGTTATGGGTCTTATATCCCATTCTCGGTCTTGCCCCACTAGGAGTCATTCTGAAGGGGTGCCAAATTAGATATCACTTAATCTGTGCCAGGCACTGTTCTAAGTACTTATAAATAAAATAAAATAAACATTTGAAATTCTTACAACAACCCTATGGGATAGGCATATTATTGTCCCCATTTTACAGATGAAGAAACTTGAGACTCAGAGATGTTAAGTGATTTGTCTAAGGTTGCACAGCTGTAAGTGGTGAAGCTGGTATTCAAAATGAGTCAGGCTGGCTCCAGAGTATAACCTCTCAGCCACTATGCAGTACTACCTGTCCTACTATGGGAAGTGACTGAGTGGGAAAAATTAGAATTCCAGTTTCATTGAAGGGAATGGAACTTGGGAAGCAATAGGGTTTGGGCAGGGGGAAGTTGCTCAATCTAACAATTTGGCCAGCCTGGAGATAAACTGGCATGGCATCCAGGCCCCCTGCCTGGGGTAGCTGACCTCAGCTAGCATTTCGACACTCGGGTTTTTGCGTCATTCCTTCTCCTCACCCCTCAGCTTGTGACAAAGCACATGGAAAAACTGAAGGGTAGTCTTCATGCTGAAGCCCTGCCTTCTGCCATCTTGAAGGAACGTCTTCTACTCACCAGGGCATAAGACGGCCCAGACAGGTCCAGGAAGATTTGCTTATGCAGAAGCCCACCAGGGGGTCTGTGAAGGCATCCCAAGCTCGGCCCACAAATAGGATGATAGAGGCAGAGAATGGGTCCACCTGGAATGGGGAACAGGCAAAAAATGACCCCTTCATCCTTCTACCTACCTCAGCTTTCACTGGTAGGCAAAAGCAGGGGCTCCCTCGCCTCCTCAGCCAGGCCCTTGGCAGACTGTGCTGTTCTCACTCAGGCCTTAAGCACCTTCACTTGCCTTGTTAATAATGACAGTAACAATTCTGATAGCTATAGCACTGTGTGCCTCCTTAGAAACTTTCCCAGATCTGTTCCCTTACATCCTCCCCTTCACTGCCCTTGAAAACACTCCCATCAATTAGAATGAATCCAGAATGATTTCCTTGCCTCCCTTTCACAACCCTGATCCCCCAGCCACCTGATACCAGAGTTAGCATTTGCTGGTTAGGACCACGGTAGATCTCAGTTTCCCTATTTATATAATGGGGGTCATGATCCCTACCTATGGCTCAAGCTCTATCTTGGACGTGGAAAAAGGAACCTATAGATGCTTTTAAAAAGTGGCCTATCACTACCCACTCAAGCTATTCCCTCCCCCAAATCTTCTAGGCCTGAATAGACAGCTTCTTTGGTCTCTCCCTCACCCATCAAGTCCCTACTATTGTGCCCGGCCGGTGTGGCTCAGCTGGTTGAGTGTTATCCCATGCACCGGAAGGTTGCTGGTTCAATTCCCAGTCACGCCACATGCCCAGACTGTGGGCTCAATCTTGTGCAGGAGGCAGCTGACCAATGTTACACTCTCACATCGATGTTTCTCTCTCTCTCTCCCTTCCTTTCTCTCTAAAATTAATAAAAACATATTTAAAAAGAAAAGACCCTACTATTGCTATTGCTCCAGGAAGCTAGGGAACTTCTGGCCTCTCCCACGTGGCAGTCTCCCTAATCAGACTTCCAACTTTAACATACAACGGTTTTACACTTTAGCTGCAGGTTCCTCATATTTGCACCCCACTCAGGACCCAACCCATGAAAGTTGCTTGAAAACTAGCTGTTGAATGCTGCCATTTGTCCTTTCTGGGGCTCAGTGTTCCCGACATATAAATGCATACAACTAAGATGCCCTGCTTGCAAAGTCCGATACTACATAAAAAAGATGGCCAGTGTGGGAGCCCTGAGATCCGTGGTTGTGCAGCCTCCCACTCTCTCAGACAAGATGAATTCTCAGGATGCCAAGCTTCTGGCTAAAGCTTCTCGAGTACAGAGGAGCCCAGCTTCACCTTAAATACCCTCCCAATCAAAGACCCTATGTACTGGGGCACTCTAACTCAGTCCAGCACTTGAGCCTTCCCCTCCCTCCCCCCACATGCCTCTGCTCCTCAGGTGAAAATGAGATGCACCTCATCCACATGCCTGGCAATATCTACCAACCCCACAGCCAAGCAGCTGACTGCTTGCTGTCCAGCTGGGGACATGGTGTGCCAGTCTCTTCTAAGAACAGCGTCACCAACAGGCTCCATTCTCCCTCATACCACCGCCTACCCTTCCAGGCTCTGTTGCTCTTGCCAGACAAGGAGGAGTTGCCTGACTTTGCCAGCTATGACTCCTGGGGCATATAGACTCTCATTCTGGATACTTCCAAACCCTTATTTCTCATCCAGTGTGACTCTGACAGGCAGCAAAGTAGGGATTCCCAGTCCCATTTCACAGATGGGGAAAACCTTAGATGCTGCAGAAACCCTGGCATGCTCAGTCCACTCACCTGAGCCACATCCAACAGGTAGATCTGTAGGAAGAACCCCAGGGCACAGCCCGTCATCTGGTAGGGGGCCCCCCCAACTGCATAGCAAAGCTTGTTGCAAATGGACAACTGTTGTTTCTTCTTTGGTTCCTTTTGGGAGAAGAGAAAAGGATAAAAGGAGACCCAATTTCCTAGTCCCCATCCTAGAAAATTCCGAAGACAGGACCATCCCTCCAGATAATTCTGCCAGGAGGAACAATCTGTCTTGCTCTATTCCCACCCAGCTGGATAGCACTTCCCACAAGAAAAGAGAGGTATTCTCTATTCTTAGGAACCTGGAAAAGGGGAACCCATACTGAAGACATTTCCCTGAAGCCACCCAACCTACCCCACCCCCAGATTCTTATCAGCCCACCATCTTTAAAAAACTCCCCCCAAGGCCGCAGTTATGCTCCTTTCCAGGTTGGAAGAGGAACATGCTCCAGCAGCGGACCTGTCCCCACCCAGCACCACCTGCCACAACCTGAAAATCCTCTTGCTGACAAGAGCTGCCGAAGCGAAGCCCCAGCTCCTGCCCTGGTTCAGAGGCCAGGACCCACCTGCCTACTGGGCCAGGGCTCTAGAGCTGTGGGGGCCCAGCCCAGCTGACTGCAGGCACAGCTGTTCCTTCCATCTGTCCCAGCGCATCCCTGGCCCCTGTGGGCAGCCAGAGCTTCAGGCAAACCCAGGAGCTGCCCTGCCTTTCCTCAGCTCCTAGGGGACCTTGGAGAGGGGAGGGAAAGCCTCTGGGTGCAGGGCTGGGTTCTCTCTGGGTGGGGCACCAGGGAGGCTGAGGTTGCCCAGGGAGAAGTAGAGATTACTCACACATGGCAGCAGCTTAACTGCTTGCCCGGGCTCCTTTCAAAGATCAGTTAAAACTAAAAGTAAAAGGCAATCACCTTCCAGGCAGAAATCTATGGCCTGGGATCCCTCCCTGATTTCGTTTGGTCCTTCATTAAATCCAGAGAAGAGCTGGGGGTGGTGCCCAAGGTCAAGATCCCCAAAGCACGGGCAGGAGATGAGCCCCTGCACCCACACTCACACAAACGCCTCAGGAATGCGGCTCCTTTAAGAGCGGAGTCCTTGTTCTTATGAATGAACTTGAGCGGCCCTCTCAGAGTTGAGGCGAAAACGTAGGCATGTGGGGGTGGGGAGTAGGTATGGGGAACCCAGAGGACTTTCCCAGACTTCGGGGGTCTCTCTGGCTTCTGGAATCTTTTTGGCTTCTAAGCCGCAAGTCACAGAAGAATGAAAGACAGCCAGGCAGAGCCGGGAGCCTCGTGGAGCCGTGGGCTGGCGCGCTCCGTAGAGATGCGGAGGGAGGGTGAGCAAAAGGGGTGCTGGGGTTTACAAACTCCTTCATCGCTCCCGGCCCCAGGGCCCCTCCAGGCTCACTCCTGCCCCTGGGGCCGCCAGTCCCCGGGTGGCCCAATGTAACCCAGACCCAGGATCACCCTTCGATGCCCCCATCAGCCTGCGCGCGCGCGCGCACACACACACACACACACACACACACACACACACCAACCCTGGCCCTCCACCCGGATGCCAGGTTCTCACCTTCACCTGGGCCGGGCGTTCACCAACTTGGAGGATGCTTGTAGGCAGCAGCCCCGTGGCGGAGCCGCTCTCGGCGCCCTCTCCTTTGGCCATGACCCGCGGGCCACGCCGCCTGGTATCGGGACGCGGGGATGCTCTTCTGCTCCGCCGGCCTCTGCTCCGCCCGGGCCCGGGTAGTAACCGCCGCCGCCGCCGCCACAGTCACCGCGCGAGAGTCAGCCCCAGGCCGGCGGCAGACGCGAGTGCACACTCCCTTACTCTCCCCCTCGCACCTCTTAAAGGTTGGCCCGCCCCCCCGGACCCGGCCAATCCCGGAGCCCTGCTGCCCCGCCTCCAGCCAATCCGCTCGCCCGCCGGCCCCCCGCCTCCCCAACCACCCGGGAGGCTCTCAGTCTTTGAGCCACGTTCTGAAGCCCGAACCTCGCTACCGGGTGAAGGCGGGGAGAGCCACCTGACATCACCAGAAACTGAAGCCTGAGGCTGAGCGTGCCCGTGGTCTCCCAGAATAAGCTTTCCCTGAGTTCAGCCTGCACTCCGTGACCCCAAGTCTGAGAAAGGTAGGGACTCAGAAGCCTCTTTATAGTTTTTTCAGAACCCCCTTTAAAATCTGGAATCGCTTGAGTCTCCCTCTCCTCCAAACCTGGAGGATGTGGCACTGACATTTCCCCTCTTTCATTCCCCGTTTCCTCTTCCTGCCATTGGCATCTTTGGGGCCCTCAGAGATGGGGGAGAAAGACGAGGCAACGCTCCCCTGCGGTCACCAAACTCCCAAGTTGTGGAGAGGAGCCGGGACCACAGCCGCTACTACACTACTACACGTTGATGATAAGAGCAGCCTTTTATGGAGAGCTTCCTAGATGCTCACCATGATGTCATTCAGTCCTCACAGCCGCCAAATGAGGGTGGTACTATTATTATCTCCATTTTACAGCTGAAGAAAGGGAGACACACATGTGGGGGAGCCAGGCCGGAAAGATTTTGTCCCATCCCAAAGCCTTCCCTCTTTCCAGCCCTGCTCCGTCCCTCTGGCAAACATCCCTGGAAGACCGCATGTGTCTCCCCAGCAAGAAGTCCTGGGAGATACAAAGCTACAATGGCACTCTGGGTTGAAACAATTCAAGAAAGGTTTGAAAAAGAGAGTACTGAGTAATCAACCTGGTCCTTGAAAGAAGATGAGAGGACATTAGTCTAGAACAGAGACCACACATGGATGCCAATAACAGTCTTCCTGACACCTCTTGGTCAGTTGTGCCAACATCATCCCAGGCAGACACTCAAGAGGCTGGTGGTGCCCGGCTGGTGTGGCTCATTGGTTGAGCTTCGACCTAAGAACCAGAAGATCACAGTTCGATCCCATGATCAGGGCATATGCCCCAATTGCAGGCTCAATTCTCGATCTTGCAGGAGGCAGTCGATCAATGATTCTCTTTCATCATTGATGTTTCTAACTCTTTCTCTCTGAAATCAATAAAGATTTTTTTTTTAAAGAGTGACTATCTTAAAGGGTTATTTTGGTGTGAAACAAGAAAATGCACAGGAAGTGCTTAGCACAAGTGCCTGGGAGCTGAGGCTGAGCTGGTCCCAGTCCTGGCCCGATTCCAGTCTGTCAGTGTAGCAATGCAAGATTCCAGATATGGCCTGACCAAGCCAACACAATAGGCCCATTATTTCCCCTAGTCTGGACTCGACACATTGTTAATGCAGCCTAAGGCTGCTGGGCTCCCGAATCTTTCTCTCCCATGATTAGTTCCCATCAGGTTGTGGTCAACTAAATCATTCAGATCCTTTTCACTGGAGCTGGGGTCAAGTGAGGTCTCTTCCCCTGCCTCTGCTTTGTGCAAAGACTTGAAGCTACAGAAGGACAATGTCATCTTGCTTATTCCAGCTTGTCAAAATTTTGTGGGTTTTTTTGTTGTTGTTAATTTTTGTCTATATGGTTTTTTAAAGGTAAAACCCCATTTTTCATTTTTATTGAGGTGACATTGTTTAATATAATTATATAGATATCATGTGTACAATTCTATAATACATCATCTGTATATTGTATTGTGTTTTCACCAAATTTTTTTTTTTAATTTATTGATTTCAGAGAGGAAGAGAGAGGGAGAGACAGACAGAAACATCAATGATGAGAGAGAATCATTGATCGGCTGCCTCCACAGGCCCCCTACTGTGGGCATATGTCCTTGGCCAGAACTGAACCCAGAACCCTTCAGTCTGCAGGTCAACACTCTATCCACTGAGCCAAACCAACTAGGGCACCAAAATTGTTTTGAATGTCAGTTCTATTGCCCCCTGTTTTTTCTCCCTCTCTACGTTTAGTTTTTAAAATATGTTTTTATTGATTTTAGAGAGAGAGGAAAAGAGAGCGAGAAACACTGAGCGGCTTCCTGCATGCTCCCTACTGGGGATGGAGCCCGAAACCCAGGCATGTGCCGTGACTGGGTATCCAACCAGTGACCTCTCATTGCATGGGACAACACTCAACCAACTGAGCCACACCAGCCAGGGCTCTCCCTCTCTGCGTTTAGATCTAGGCTGTTCCTTGGGACTTCAACTCCACCATACACACTGTTGGTCTGGAAAGAGCCCCATAACACATCACTACAGACACTCATTTACCATTAACTGCTAATCCAACAGCTCCCAATTATTGAACACCCACTGTGTGCTGGGCAAGCATGAGGAAAGCACCTGCCATTTACACAATCTCATTTACTCCTCACAACACCACTGAAGAGGGTAGTTGTTACCCCTATTTACCATGATGAACCTGAAACTAAGAGAGGGGAAGCAGGAACTAATTTTATTGCTGGGGTCCAATCCCAGCGGGTCCAGGGGTCCCCAAAGGTGTGGACGGAGTCGGCGAAGAAGGAATGACACGAAGACAGCCTTCAGTTGATCAGCAGCCTAGTCAGGACCTCTAGCCAGGATCTCCAGCCAAAGTTCTGGTCGGAGTTCTGGTTAGGAACTGACGAGGATCTGATGTTTATTGTCTTGTTACATCCGTATTTATACCAGCCGATTTTAATCCTGTCAATTTCTATTACAAAGGTTAGGGCGTTTCTTATCTCCATTCCAGGGAGTAAAGATTATGTAGCTTAACTACCCACCTGGCACTTAATTAAGGGGTTGTATCCCCTCCCTAACCTCAGGGAAAAATCCCCACCTGGGGAAACAACCTTTCTCAGAGAGGTGACCTTGTGTGCTGGGCAAGCACGAGGAAAGCACCTGCCATTTACACAATCTCATTTACTCCTCACAACACCACTGAAGGGGGTAGTTGTTACCCCTATTTACCATGATGAACCTGAAACTAAGAGAGGGGAAGCAGGAACTAATTTTATAACCCCAGAATCAGGCATCTTTTTCTGTCAATGAATTTGTCACTTAGAGATGTTGCCCTCCAGACGAATACAGTCTCCATTGGGCCTCTTGCCATTCTCCCTCCTACCCTCATCCCCCCACACCACCAGGCCTGGAGCCCAAGGGGCTTTGGTGAGGCTCCAGTCCACAATGGACAGAAGGTAACCTCTCTAGCCCTATTACCCTCAGGAGCCTGGAGCAGAGAACTGGGCCCATTTTTCATAGCAATGTTCTACCTAGGATAGCAGTGCGGACAAGGGCTTCTCCCTGAGGAGCAGACCAACAGCTCCCTGCTCTGTGGTGGGAACACCCTCCTGGCCATCCTTAACCCTTTCTGGATCTAGCCCAGCCTCATGACCTAAGGCAAATGAACGTCCGTGCTCCCCTGGTTGCTCTGCAACTATCTGGGCCCTCACAGGGCACCATGCCCAGCCTTGAGGGCTTCTTCAATGCCCCAGAACACTCCCTTGAAGGCCTTTGGGGGAATTCCCCAGGTCCCCTGAGCTTCCTGGGAAACAGAGCGGCAGAGGTAAGTGCAAAGATCCCAGAAGACAGATTACCGGGCTTCATAGCCTATCCTACCATTACAGGTTACTCTTGGGCAAATTAGTGAATCTCTTTGATCCTCACTTTCCCCACCTGCCAAGTGGGGATAATAATTGCATCTATCTCATAGGGTTGTCACGAGGATTAAGTGGGGTGCCTAGAGCAGTGCTTGCCATATAGAAAGCACTTAAAAGCGTTTATTATTACCATTATCATTATTAGTATGTTGAGCAAAACCTCACCAAGTAAGACCACTTGAGTCAGAAGGGAGAAAATTTGGTCCGAATAGCTAGGGACTAGCTTTATGTCAGGGACTCAAGGTGGTATTTTTAGCAGACCGGAACGCTTCTAGGCAGGATTGTCAGGTAGAGCTGTTGAGGTGTTGGTGCTAGGAGATTGTTGCTAAGTGAAGGTGTTGTCAGATGCCAATGTTGCCAAGTAGTATAGCTTACGGTCTGTTGTCTAATGGTAAGATCTTTTCAGGCCCTAACTAGCAGACCTACCACCCTGACTTCTGGAGAAAAGGAGCCCAGCCCATGCCCTAACAATACTTAGTTCAATAGCCACTGGTAAGTTTACATCCTGCCCGCTGGTGCTCTAAGGCCTGAGCCCGGGGAATGGCCAGGTTGAAGAGGCATAGGCTGGAACAAGAGCTTCCTGGAACAGCTACGGTGTTGGGAATACTTCAACCTGTTCCCATTAGTCCCTTTGTTTGTCCTGGGTGGGGGGTTGGCGGGAGGGCGGTAGAGCGGGGAGCGGGGTGGCAGACAGAAAGTAGGAAGGAGGGACTCCTGAGGATCCCAAGAGAGGTTCTTTGGGGGAAAAGTAGCTGAGGACTCTTGAAGTCACCTGAGGCTGCCAGTTCCTGCCTGGATGTTGGTTGGGCAATTGTGGGGCAGAAGTCTCAAGGCTGATCCGTGATCCCACAAAGCTATAGACCACTCCAGAGAGAGGCCCCCTCTCCTGGGCTTCAGGAATGGGCTGGGTGGTGAGACTGGCTTCTGAGCCTCAGTTGTCAGGGGGAGGAGGGGCATGAAGAGTTCCCAGACATTCCTTGTGTGGATGAAATAAAAGGGTTCTATTGAAAGTCACCTCACAGGTTCCTAACTAGGCAAGTCATGGTGGATCATGCCCTAGGCATATAACTTTGTTTTCCCTTTTTTTTTAAAAAAAAAAAAATGTTTTTATTGATTTTTTTTAGAGAGAGAGAGAGGAAGAGAGAGAGAGTGCACGAAATATCAATGAGAGAAGAAACATTGGTGGATTGCCTCCCTTATGGACTGAACCCACAACCTGGCCATGTGCCCTGACTGGAA